CTCTCCCGGAACTTGTTCGTCCTCTGCAGCACCCATCTGAACGGCGAACTTCGAGCCTCGTCGCTGGATAGAGTAAGATTGCGATGGCTCAGCGCCGGACGTTGCAGATCCGATAGTCGGCGCCTCCCGTTGAGGTGTTGTTTCTGCCGATGGCTGCTGAGAAGCTGATGCTGACCCAGAAGCCTGTCCCTGGTTCAGGACGTTGGTGAACAAGCTCCACGAATCTCCCTGCTCCAGAAAAGACAGAGGCCATACAATAGCGGGTGCCCAGCTCTGGTCAATGGCCTGATGGCATGCCTTCGATACCCGCTGTCCCCAGCCCTCCATGAACCAGTATCGCGTCTCAGCTGCATGGAACATGGTCGTATAGTACAAGAGAATTACAATCGCACCTGACCTTCGCTGTTGAATAGCTTCCATGAAATCTGGTCCTAATTGCAGAGGCCAAAAGAATAGGAAACGTAGCTCCCGGTTATCCACTCGAGCAGGCAGCGATATCTGGAAAGCGGGCTCGAAGAGGTGAATGACAGTAAGATAAAGTTGTCGTTCGGCCTCTGAGAGATCCGTTCTCCCTTCAATGAAAGTAACCAGTGCTGGTAATTGACTTTTCAGCTCTAGCAGCACGGGCTGCGATGCAGTGGGTTCCAACGGATCTCTCAGTATCGGGCCGAGAAAAGAGTCCCTCACTGCCATTTGAGCGAGCGCAAGAACGTGTCCCATACCTTGCATAAGATGGAAGGCATTCACCAGACTATCAATGTCGTTGACAGGTGCAGTAAGAGGTGTCTGGGCCTCGAATCCCGTCGAAGCAAATACGCTGAAGGTGAGCAGTGTCGACGTAGCTACAATCGCCGGGGCGTCTTCGTCGGTTACATTTTGAAGCTTCTCTCGAACTCCCCGAATGGCGAGATCTTGATGATGGATACCGCAAGCATAGTATGGCTGCCGTTGGTCTTGAGGTTGTTGATATGCTTTGTGTAGCGCCGCAAAGGCCAGAATCTCATGCATGAAGAAGTCATGTGCGTTGGCTTGTTTAGGAGCCTCGACTCTCCACATATGCCGAATGGTAGGTCGTTGGGACAGGGTATCAAATGCCTCTGTTGTCCAGTGGTGTCTAAAACAGTTGGTGATGATCCTGGCAATGGCCCAACTGACTTACAAGAGCTCCAGGTCCCGCAACCATAGCGACGACTGACTCGGTTGATTTCTGTGTATATATCTAGTCAAGAAGGGGTATGCGTCCGACTGCGAGTCGGAAGAATCCTCTTCCGAGATAGTCGAGACGGCCCTCGCTCCGGCTGCGGTCGACGGGTTGCGCGGGTAGGCCACGTGGGCAGACGATGCCGATGAACCCTGTTACACCAATGAGAAAAGAACGACTATGTTTCATGGCGTTTTATGGGGCATACGGGTATAGATCGTTCGAGCGGTGACTGATTCGTACGTCGTGATGCAGACGATGCGGAAGATGCCGAATGAGCTGACTGGGATGCGCTGGGATCCCAGACGACGAGGCTACACGGAACGCCATGGCGGGCGCAGTTGGTACACGGCTTGAGTTCATCACACTGAGCTACTTCAGTATCGAGTCCTCGTAAGCGTGTAATGCTTAGTTCGATGTTGTGTCCTACCTTGACATGGCGGGCTTTACATTGTTGGCAGCCTAGTCTGGACCTAGAGAACGTGATCGGGTCAGATAGGAGCGAACAGTGGTTTTGAAGTATAAAACGGGGATGCTGTGGCTCGAGGGTACGGGGTTGTGGGCGACGAGTGGTAGGAGTGTGGCGTGATGATTACGGACTTTTTGTGGCCGAGGCGCGGCATTGCAGCGAACTACCGTGACCCGAGACCAAAGCTTTGGGCCTCGACAGTGTGACCAACCGATCAGGCTATCGTCGCAACGGACCGTCTCGCTGTTTCAAGCCGCAGGATGAGGGAACAATGCGAATGCGAAGGTGAGGTACGTGTGGACGATGCTGTGTGTGGTGGGTCGGGAGAATCTTCGCGCACAAGGATGATCCCACACTATGCCACGTTCGCTCCAGACGATGCCGAATCGAACTTGACGGCAGCCGCGGCACACCTCGCATTCGCATTCCGGAGTTCGTAACGAGATAGATATAGTCTCCGACATGTGATGCGGTTGTGGTCGACGTCGCAATCCATTGGGTTGTGCGTCATCCGGCTTCTTCCGCCGCTTCAATCATCTCGTGTTCGGATCATAGCGTCATCCTCAAGACAGGAACATCGAAATCGACCCTGACCAGCGGTACGATGGTATAATGTCACCCATTAAGTCGGAGTCGAGGAAGCACGAGCCCAGAAATGCATACGAGAGCCGCCCGATCTACAGACCACAGCGGACGCGTTTACACAACCTCCATCGTTACCAAACCCTTTTAAGGCATACGTATGAGTCAAAAACTATGGAGAAAGAGCTTGGGAGCTGGCGGGTCGATAACATGCCCAGGCAGAATTCTGCTAGGACATCGGTCTGGTACTCCAACGCGCCTTAACCTCATCCACATTATCCAAATGTAAGATGCGCATCAACTTCCGCGATTGCAATGCATCGCATATTGCTTTTTCCTCTCAGCTCGGAGGGGTGATGGCTTCTCGAAAAAGAAATGCGGCAAGCCAACTAACGCACGGGGCGCCTGATCCCCTATCGACATCGGCATCGTCGGAGTGGTCTTGTCGTTATTGCACGCATGCATGATACACCTCTTTTGTGTAAGAACTGGTTGGTTACTTCTCGAGCCATGCCAGTCGCGAACGTCACATTACAAAGAGCCTTGCCAAACGAATACCAACCACAGCACAGTTGCGGTGCGAATTCCCGACTTGTCCCTTCGCGGCCTTTCACCCGTGTCATTGCTGAAAGCTGTGCCAGAACCGCTCTCTGAACAGAGAACAGAGTGGGAAGGCTATGTAGCAGTTGAAATCTGGACGTGCACGTGTGCAGAGCAGAATGTGGGTATCATATGACCAGGGCGCAGTCGAGCTCAGGTGTAGGGTGGTTTGAATGGGGTTGGGGCGTATTGGCTCTCTGAACATGGAAGAGATTCACGGCCCGTTTTACGCTCACAGTGGCATTCGAACCACGGTTCTCTCACCAGTGTGAAAAAAGCCGCAGTAGCAGAAAGCACAAGGGCTCACCTTTCTAGAAACAAAAACTTAACCACTCAACCCACTGTATAAATAGTACGACGTTTATATCTAGACCCTTCATCACACGGCGCCAATGGATTTGCATCAATCAGCCGACATGTTTGCGACGACAAAATCATGCGAATCTGTCGAACCGGCTGCAGACGTAGTCTCTGGAGTCTACAAGCTTGCGATAGAGGAAGGAGACGACTACAAAGTACACGAAGACGAATACGTGACCCCTGAGGAGATTGACCCGTATGATTCAGACGACTCTGATGCATTTGGATACTGTGTAGATATTGCTACTCAGGAGCTCCAGCATGCGTACACACCAGTTTATACGCGCGCACTACTCGAGGATGTAAAGTACTGGGCTGATCGGATTCGTGGAGAGTTCTCTTTAGCATCTAATAAGCGAGTGCTCGATCATGTTGATGCTTCCGGGCTGAACAAGAAAACGTACAAAGTCTGGAATCGAGATGACGTCAATGCCAACACCATCCAAGTTGAATATCTCTCGCGAGTTGAGATGCATCCTGACTTCCAAAGTCGATATGGAGACCATTCAGAACAGATCAAGACTCTCCGACGCTACAACAAAGACCACGAGCAAGACTGCATCAACACGCCATATACTTTCATAACCTTTGATCGATGCTTCTTTAATGAACATAAGAACACAGCAAAGATGAGGACATATTGGAGCACTATACAAAACACAAAACGCCTTTGGATAGCGAGTTCCGCGAGAAGGCAGCTGGTGGAAGCATTCCTAGAGACAGCCAAGACTTGCCCACCGATCACGCAGGTTGTCTGCTTTGGAATGGGCGCGCTTAATCTCAAGAAGAACTGGTACCAGTCCGCCATCCAATATATGGCCATCTTCAGCATCATACAAGCACTGGACCAGTACTACCATCAGGCGGACTCCAGTCGGCCTTTGATCAAGCTGGTACTACAGGATCCGAATTACGAGACCGAAGATCATGAGATCTTGCGAAAACTATTCAACAGCAACAACGATATCAGCTTCGTGTCTGACCCGGATGGTCTTCTCGCAATCGATGCGGGTACACTAGTCGTGACAGCCTATCTCCCCTTCCAAATGCCTCTGGTCCAGATAATAGCCGATCTAATTTCGGAAAACCCTGGCCAAGGCCCAGCGGCAATACTATGCGACATCATGGAAGTCAACACTGAGAAGCGGAAGTACTCGTTCAGCGAGCGCGCATCTCCACATGTTGCCCGGCACTTCACAAACCATTACGAAAGGGAAGAGGATAGATTTGAAGATCACGGATTAGATGATGAGCTCATGGCAGATGTATATGGAGAAGATTGGGTGGAGAAGGAAAGGATGTACTGGCTGAACAACATGGATTTATGGGTGCGAAAAAGCGGCGGAATCCAAGAACCGCACGTTCAAGATCAGTAGGCAAGTGAAGGTGGCTCAAACGTTGATATACTAGCAAGGATATCATTAGGACTCACTTCCATGACGTCAAGGGATATCCGTCACAATGCCAATGCGTATTTACGACGAACTGAATCGGGTAAAGGTTTTTAACTCACACATGTATCAAAATTTTGCCGCCTTCGCATGCGCTTGAGACATTGGAATGAATGGCCATCGCAATGCCTGGGGTATACATCAGTCTGTTTCACTACTGATCTACACGGCTGCGACATGTTTGAGGACTACACTGTTTGTTCGCAGTTTGCTAGTGAATACGTACAATGAGGTGCGCCGTGCTATAAATCACCCAGATACATTGATGTCGATCTCATCTGCATCTTCCTCAACTCACCGATTAGTTCATACGCTGCTTCTTCCCCTCTCGCTTGCCATGCCAGTAACCACAAGGTCTCAGTCTAAGGCCAAAGAACTGGCATCGGCCTCCGAAGAAGTCATGACTACTGACTTTGATTCTGATTCAGACCTAGACTCTGAAATGTACTTTGAGTATGAGGGAAGCGACACGGATGAGGATGAAGAACCGCCGGACGAAATGGATGAGTATCTTGTCGACCTTGATGCTCTTGAAAAGCAACGCAACAACACACCAATCTTTACACGATCTCTCCTTCTTCAGATCCGCGAACAGCAACGGCAGATACTCGAAGAGGCACGTCTCCCAAGCGACAGCCGCAGGCTACAATATCTCAGCTGGCGAGCCCCAGATGGTCGTCTTACGAAGGTTTGGGGGGATTCAAACCTTCTCGGGTTAGATCAAGAGCGGAAGCAACGTGTCGATGTTGAGTTCGCACCCCGCGTCGCCCTTGATCCAGAGTTTCAGCGCAAGTATGGATGGCACGTCAACGCAACCCTCATGTTACGGATATACAGCGATGCTGTCACTACTCATAGTGGTACAGAGAAGGTGTATCTCGATGCTCCTTATGCTCTTCGTATTGAGGATCAGGGCAGGACTCTTGAGCACCAAGATGCCAAACAAATGCAGAGATACCGTGATGCCATCGCACAGTCGTTGGCGTTCTGGTGGAAAGGTGACTTGGCCCGTAAGTTTACCCAGAGGATCAAAAGCATCGCAGGCCTCTCAGCGCCGATTGAGAAGATTGTTTGTTTCGGCCTGTCTGTACCGCGGCCGGGTCGGATACATGACAGTGTTTTTCAACACATTCCCATTTTCAGCATGGCGAAGACTTTAGCCAGGCACTACAAAAAATCTGGGTTACAACAGGATAAGATCAAACTCTTGCTTCAAGAGCCTGATTATGAGGAGAGAGACTGGACATTGCTCGGCGAGCTTCATTTACTCATGGACTGTGAAGAGAGTAGCGAACTAGAATTCGTAAACGATCCAGATGGGCTTCTTGCCATTGACTCCAGCACCATGGTAGTCGCGCCACATTTACCCAGCTATTACCCCTGGATACAGATCATTGCTGATCTCTTCGCGTCGGGATCGGGGCCAGCTGTCATTATCGGCGATAATCTCGCTGTCGACCTTGATAAGCAAGTCTTCGCTATTAACGATCGCGGGTCGCCAGTCGTCGCGAAGTTTCTCTCAGAGCGGTATGAGGAGTTTCAGAGTGTCCTCGAAGGTGAGAAGTCGTGGAATGAGTTACGTCTGCCTGCAGGTATAACTGGGTATGATCCGTATGCGATAGATTGGTTGCCAGACATGGACATCTATGTACGACACGATGGTCTTGATTGTTAGTACCCGTAGGTATTGCTGGTCGTGATTCAGCATAATGCAGCCCAAAAGACTAGCAAGATAGCATATATCACAATGACTCGCGATCTCTACCCTTCTTCTCATCCTCATGCTTTCTCTCACCCGCAATCTTACCACCTCTTTACCCTGTTCTCCTCTTCCCTTAGGTAGCCTCAACACCGCCAAAAAGATAGGCACAGCGAGACTCGAACTCGCATCTCCCTATATACATTTATGGCCTGGGTCATCGCCCCCGAGCACAAGGGCCAAGCCTGCAGGACCAGCGGCAGAGCTACACACCCATCGCGGTTCTATTACTAGGGCATCTTGACCATTAGACTATATGCCTTGGATAGGTTCGATAGCTTGCTGCAGAGTAAGAGAGGGTATGTCAGAGTGAACAATAGGGCGCTGAGAAAAGGAGTGCGATGTTTGACGGCGTCTGTGCGATCAAACAAATGCGATGGCAAACCATAGCGACAGGATAAAGGCAGTGGTCTGCAATACCCAGACACAAAAGCGAACCGACAGGATGCAAGGAACAGCAAAAAGATTTGGACATGGCGAGAATCGAACCCGCATTTCTCGTAGCCAAAGACATTCGTCTATGGAAATGGTGACGAATGGAATGAGCCAACAATTTGCATTGATGAAGAGAGCCAACGAGTTGAATCGCCGGATAGGGCCACGAATTGTATTCATGGGGAGAGAAGGTGTACTGTGCTCAAGCGTCCTACCATTAGACGACATGCCCGTGAGATGGTGTTTGATGGGATGAAAGGGAATTTGACGGCATATGTAGATGCTGGTGGCATGCAATATTGTGGGAAATGTGTGCGGCGATGCGGAAGCGTCATGGCCTGATGCGAGAGCTCCTACGCGTCATCTTGGTGTGTTGTGGCAGTCGCTGATGGTCGTGGCAGGCGTGGCCGGGAGGGTTGCGGGAGCTTTGGGAAGGCACGATGAGGCAGGAGCGTGGAGGCCGACGACTCCGTACCCCACAATATTCTAGCGATGGAGACACTATGTAGTCATGAATTCCTATTCTATGTCGTAGGCCTACTCAAAAAGGGTATAATCGCATATAATCATCCACTCACTTGATACCCTGCCAACAGCCGCCAGACCGCTTCCATCTAACTCAACAACTCTTTAATATCCTCAATCCTCTGTACCCTCTTCTCCTCATCACTCATCATACCCAGCGAACTCGCACTGCAACACGTTAGCACCCACCCTCAATACCTAATCACAAATTTGTTCACTTACATAAACTTCTTCCTCTCCTGTATCCTAAGCATCTTCTCCTCAATGCTCCCCTCCACACAAAATCTTATAACCTTGACCTCCCTCTCCTGACCCATACGGTGCACACGATCGATAGCCTGGGCCTCGACGGCAAAACTCCACCACGGATCCATCATGAAGACTTTGTTTGCACACGTCAAGTTCAGGCCTACACCGCCTGCTCTCAGACTGAGGAGCAGGACGTATGGTTTCGGGGATGTGGTGAACTCGGTAAGGATCTGGGCGCGTACTTTCTGGCTGATGGAGCCGTCGAAGCGGAGGAAGGGGATGTGGTCGCGGGTTAGAGCGGGTTCGATGAGGTCGAGGAAGGATGTGAATTGGGAGAAGACGACTGTTTTCGCGCCCTTTTCTTCTTTGCGTGTCTTTTTGAGATGGCCTAGGAGGGCTTGAGTTTTGGCGGAGCCGGTGACGCCGATACGACGGAGGCTGATACGTGGTGTTTGTGTGGACGTTGGCGGTGCGTCGGCGGCGCGGAAAGCGTGGTCGTTCTCGTCTTCGGGGGCGTTGTCATGCCGGATGACTTCGAAAACATCGCGCGCGTTGATGGGTTCGCGGCAGTTCCAACAGCGTGGTATCTCGTTCTTATCGCGCTGGTGAGCGATGTAACTCAGCAAGCACTCCTTGCAGGCTGAGTGCCAACAGCCGGTGACTGCTTGCTCAATCATAGGTTCTTCGGAGCAGATTGGACATTCGGCCGCAGATTCGTCTTGGATCTGTTTCAAGACATGTGCGCCGAACCTGTTGACATCTTGGTCGCCCTCGGCAGTGAAGCGTTCAATTAGAGAGGAGAGGTCCATATCATCCGCCAAGCCATTTGCGAGATCCGATGCTAACGAGGCGTCTTCTTCGTCAGCGACAAGGTTGCGATTGCGTGTCAGTACAGGATGGCAGCATGATTGCCGTAGTCGTAGAATTTGCGCGAAGATGGTTGTATACGACTTCATCAGTGTGCCGGCTTCTGCATTAGCATTGACCAGACTCTTTGCGCGCAGGAAGATGTGGTCGTACACATCCCGCTCGTCTTGTGACAGCACAATCTTCTCAACTTCGATTGTGCGAGGGGGTAGTGGTACCAGAGCTTCACCGTCGGGCGTCTTCATGTCCTTTGTTCGACGAAGCACCAGTGGCTCTAGCACCGTCTGTACCACATTCAAGGCACGTACAAAGTCGCCTGATTCGAACGGTACGGTGATGAACGTCTTCCAGAAAGAGAAGTTCGCCCATGGCTCGACCTTGAGGAAACGAACCAGACTGAATAGATCTTCCAAGCGGTTCACGATGGGTGTTCCTGTGAGCGCCCATCGATGTTTTGCACTGAGCTCGTAACATGCTTTCGCCGTTTTCGACTGTCGGTTCTTGATGTAGTGCGCTTCGTCGAGGATGATGCGGAAGTATTCGAGCGAGAAGATGCCACCATGCGAGCCACGGTTCCCTTCTTGGGCAACCACCTGGTTGTACTCTGATAGAACTGTGCCGTAGCTCGTGATTATAACGTTGGGCGCATTAGCTCCGTTTGATGCGCAACATAGCTTCTGAAGGTTTACAGCCTTCTCTGAGCCATAATAGAGCATGGCCTTCAGTGTACCTTCTTTAGACGCCTTTTCGGCTTCGCTGTGCCATTGTGCCAGCAATGACATGGGTGCTATAACGAGTGTAGTGTATGGCGCAGGCTCGACGTCGGCACTAGACTTTTGCAATCGGGGGAGAGCCTTCCGCGTCGTCGAAACATCCTCGTCAACTTCTGTCCTATTCGTATGGATCAAGCTGAGCATCTCAATAGTCTTGCCCAGACCCATCTCATCAGCGAGTATACCGCCAAGGCAGTTCTGCTCTTGTTTCGGGAACTCAAGCGAGAGCTCGCCAGAGTAGGGATTGACGTAGAACATGGTCTGGTCTTCGATGGTCGGTATTGGCTGATTGTCTGCATCGTGAGTTGGCCACTGGTATTCCTCCCACAAGGGATGCATTGAGGTCTCCTTGTCCTCTATCGACTCATTCCTTTCCTTGCTGACCATCCAAAAGAGCGCCTGCTTCTGATACTTGCGCAAGTCCATGCGGAAGGTGCTTGCTGGCTCCATGGTTGGGGTGTCGAAGTCAAAAGACTGCGCCTTCTTGTACAGTGAGTCCAGTTGATCTTGTTCCAGCTCTTCTCCTTCTTCGGCTTCGTCGGGTGGCGGGGAGGATGTGGGGTTGGTAGACGTTGCAGGCGTGGAGGATGTTCCGTTCTTCGGCTTCGGCTTATCACCTTTCTTCTCCTCGCTCTCTGCTGCCTGTAATAGACCTTGTCGCTTGTGCTTCGCCGTCTCTTCATTTTCGCGGGTCGGTTGGAGGTTGATGTTATCGAAGAGCTTCACGAGAGCAACTTGCCGTAACCGAAGGTCTCGCTCGTCGGACGATTCCTTCTCTTCGAAGAGATTGATTTCTCGATTGTTGTCCGGTTTGGCAAATCTACGCGAATCGAACGCTGCGCGAACGAAAAAGGCTCGTAGCTGTAGGTATATAGTATCGCCTGTGCGTATCTTGTCGGGCGTGTAGACAACCGAGCCGTCGAAAGAGCAGACTTTCTGATCGAGTAGCACAGATACCCAGGCAGCTGAGTCGTTGTCCAACCTGCCGACTTCAGCACCACGCTCATTCATGAACCTGACTACGATATCCGGTTTCGAGAGTTTGATGACCTTCTTTGCCTTGTTGAGTTTGGGTTGTGGCTTGGTGCGCTCGATGCGTATCTTTTCGTCGTGCTTCAGCTGAGATCCGCTCTTGGTAGCAAAGCCCACGACGCCAAATGAGCCTATGTAGCGCTTACTGGGCATCTCTCGCAGTATCGTGGGTGTGGAGGTGCCTGAGCCTGGTGTGGAAGCATTCGATATTTCAGATTCGGTTCGATTGAGGGTTTTCGCTATCGTCATCTGAATGGGCTGCCGACCGGATTTGAAGACGGGTGCGGGGGACGGTGAGGGCATCTTGCTCCATGAGCCGTCCAAGTAGAGGTTGATTGCTGCATATTGTTAGCCATGCAACTGCAACCTCACACTTACTGGCATACCTCGTTCTACATTGCTTCCACTGACGTCTCTCAGCTTCTGCAATACCGTGGTAGAGAGCTCTCCAACAACGGCCTGGAGCATTCCGACATCGAAACTCCCAAAATCGGTCTCTTCGTCATTGCCATTGCTTTCGTCTGGTGGTTCTGCGGCGTGTAGTGGCGGCGACGATGGGGGAGGTTCGATGGGTTTCGACGGCGGCTGAGTAGGGGAAGAGTCTTCTATAAAGAATCGGCGCTTCTTGACGGGTCTCTCGTCTGGATGTGGTGACTCCATGGTGTTGTGTCGTGTGTTGGTGTTGGGCTGTCCTCGCATGCGCCCAATTCGTCCAGTCGCGTCGACGCGCTTTCACGTGGCGACTGCGGGTGATCGACGTAATAGCGTCATACAACCCACCAGTCGCCGTGCACTCTTTGTGCCTTACGAGCAATTGCGCCTCCCCCAGATTGCGCAAACACATGCATCTTCTAGGGCTGTAGATCGATTTTTTTTTCATTCTCTGCTCGATTCCCATGCATCTTGGCTCTGTACAGTAGTTTCCGTCTTCTCAAAAGTTTTCAATGCCACCTCCGAGGCTCTGCACAGCTCCCGCTCGGCGCATACACACCTACCCAAGACCGCGACGGAGGCAATTCCACACTTCGCCACGACTTCAGAATGCGGCGCGCCCCTCAGAAGATGAGATTGCACGCGCACGTGCTTACTGCGCGAATCTAGTCAGGTAGCTTCGCCATGGCAACTCTGTTCTGTCGCACACTGACGAAACGGCAGAACATACGATGCACCCTCACATGTCCTTCAAACCTTCATACCGCAATCCTCGCGAGATGCCTACCTCGCGATCCGCGCCTTCAACGTCGATGTCGCCCGCGTCGCCGACACGACGAGCACGCCCACAATTGGCATGATGCGCATGCAATTCTGGAGAGATACCGTTACGAAAGCATTGGCCGGCACACCTCCGAAGGAACCAGTCGCCATCCTATTGGCACAAGCAGCTGAAGATCTGCACGAGCGATCTGGTGGGAAGGCACGACTGAGCAAGAACTGGTTCCATCGCATCATCAACACGAGAGAACAGTATCTAGGGAACCCACCATATCCCACTTTGAGTGCACTGGAAAGCTATGCGGAGAACACATACTCGACTATGTTGTATCTGACGCTATCAGCGCTGCCCCAGGCTTCACTCACCACCGACCACATCGCATCGCACATCGGCAAGGCCATGGGCATCGCAGCCGTACTGCGAGGCATCCCGCTCATCGCATTCCCACCGCAACAGCCACTAGGCACAAGTAACTCCATGACTGGGCAATCGGGGCCCACACAGGGTGCCGTACTCCTCCCACTCGACGTAATGGCCGAAGCCAACGTCCGCGAAGAAGACGTCTTCCGACAAGGCGCTTCGGCCCCCGGTCTCCGCGACGCCATCTTCACTGTCGCGACCCGCGCGAACGATCACCTCATCACCGCCCGCGAGATGCTGTCCAAGCTGCGATCCGAAGGCACGCTCGGTCACGACTTCGAACACCAAAACGAGGAGGAACATCAGTATAGCGCACAGCAGATGAACACAGGTCAAGAAGCACAATTGGCCGAGGTAGAACAGGCATTTGGTGTCTTCATGCCGAGCATAGCGACACAGTCCTGGCTAGATAGGTTACAGGGTGTGGACTTTGACATCTTCGATGCGAATCTGAGGAAGGTCGACTGGAAGTTACCCATGAAAGCGTATTGGGCGTATAGTCGACGAAAGATATAATGTTCAAAAAGAATGAAGCATTTACCGATGTACTTCTCAAGGCTGCAAGGTGCTCAAGCGATAATGCTGATCTTTACCAGTACATCGAATGGCAAGGTGCAAATCAAAACCCGGGAAGTGGACCCAACGCCATGCAAAGACCCGGTATCCTTTTGAGTTCCTCCTCGTTTTGAAACTGAGGTAGGGAGAAAGAAGAAGGTATGGTGAACGTCTGCCTCTTTATATACTCGTTCAGGGCCCTTGTCGCAAACGAGCTGGTGACCTAATTGAACTTTAATGAGAATGTAATGGCACTGGCGAAATCGCTCTTTTCAATAGCACGACAGGTTTCCGCACAGAACGTCATGCATATCGACGTGAACTTTTTAAAACAGCTCTCATGAAGCTTCTGATATTGGTTTTTCATTTTCGTTTCCACTATCAGGAGATAGACGGGCCGCCGCAGCACATCCATCTGATTCCATCGAGTTTTTTTGACCTGAGCTTTTGAATCTGGCGTGTCGGAGGTCTCAGAGTCTTGGAGCAGGAGCCGAACAGGAGCAGGACAGACACTCATGTCGAAGAACTGTAGGCTTTTGGAGGTAACGTGTTGGAAGTTGGCTTTCAGTGGAAGAGAGAGAGAGCAGTGCTCATAGTCCCTTTCTGATCTAGTTTTGGAAAGCGAGGGCCGAACACATGAACGGCTTGTTGCTAGATTTCGGAGCAAGAGAGAAGAAGAAGGGAGTTAAGGAGTAAGTAGGTGCATGGAAGGTGAGGTTCATGTATGCCAGGAACGAGAGGTGAGGCCACAGCGCAGCATGATGAGCTGGCGTACGCTTTTTGGGAATATCGTATTCTCACACGGTCCTGTCGTGGACACAGATCATGAAACGGTGTACCTGTTATTTTTGAACACCTCAGCGCCGAGAACGACATGGCACGAGGGTCTCCTTATTTTGAGATGTTCTTGAAAGTGATAAAAGAATGTAGGAAAGAGAACGGGTCGAGCACTGCGAAGCCCTATATATACAGGTTTATATTGCGAGCTACTTCCGATGAAGATGTTGCTGGCTGGAGGGCGACTGCACATGGCGTGAAAGATACTTTGTCTTGAAAAGTGCACATTGATACGGTCTTTGGAAAGTTTGTATGAGAAGACTTTCCGAAAAAAGATACCAAGACAATCGATGGGTACTTCACACTCCTCCATTCTCGGCGCAGGTGAACAGTGTTGGTAGAGCCTGACATAATACAGATTGGCCGGTCATGCGCAACGGTATGTAAGATTGGAAGATGCCCGCGACTATAACAACGCTGCTTCTGTTCGCAAGTCAGATTCTATGCAGGAAGTATGCATCCGGGACGCGTGTAAAGTCCAAGCAAACTATTGATTTGGATAAATGACACGAGAGGCGAGGTTTAGAGCCCCGCCCTTTCGTATCCGATTTGGTTAGTCTACGCACCCTCCCTGTCATTCTCCCGGAGGGTATCATGTTCGCGAATACGTCGCTGTGGTAGTAAGATACATTTACCTTCGTTCACAAAATCCGTACCGTGATTGTCGCAAAGACAGCAGTTGAGGATGGCGTCAAATGTGCGTGCCCTTCGTTGCGACCCCCTGACCTCGGGCTATCCCCAAGCTAACAACAACAGCCAAACGCTTCGATGACCTGGGCGGCATCGTCCAAAGAAGATGGTTCCAAAGTGAGCTTTCTGGACTTACCGCGCGAACTTCGCGACATGATTTACGAGTCCGCCTTCCGCATCAAAGGCGCTGTTCTCGTTTACTCGCGCGACCCCTTCGCAGTTCGGCCGGTGATGAGAGTGCTGAACATCCGACATGGCGGCGAAGGACCGATTGAACCGCAACCCTTGTGCAGCGGCCAGATCCCGGTAGCACTCATAAGGACGTGTCGACAGCTTCGCGCAGAAAGCAGCCCTGTTTTCTTCGGGTCCAACGTCCTTTCCTTTTGGGCCCTGGGCAACATCGACGTTGGCCTCGCCAACCGACTCTTGGTGAAGCACATTGTAACTGAAGCAAGTCCTCGCGGCATCTTTGACAAGTCTCTCGAGCATGTGAGCTATTGCTGGAAGAGAAGGTTTTGGCCTGAGATTTTGCGCAGCAGCGACGCGATACTGGAGCAGTTCCCCAACCTGGACACGCTGACCTACTCACTGAAGCCGCCGCGTGAGGAGATTTGGAAACCTGCTTTCTTCGATGTGGCCAACAAGACGAGAGAGCAACGTGTCGATCTGGTTGCTAGTTGGATGAGTCAAATGTGTTCTTGGGAGGATGAGCGACTGCGTAGGGTTTTGCATCTCGAGATGGTGCCTTCGCCTGGGCTCTCGAGAGATGAATATGCGGGTTCGCGGTTTGTTCCTGAGGACGAAGACGTCTGGGACTACACTGAGTTCGTGGATGCGTTTGAGCTGATGAAGAGATCGATTTAATCAGACAGGCGGACAAGCATATCGATCATATAAAAGCAATATGAGTATTCTGTGGGTGGCCACGTTAGCAGAACCATCGTTCGGTGCAGGATGACGGAAGGAGGCATGATCGCGTGGGCCTTGCCTTCCCCGCCACATTGACCTTATTTCATGAGCTGTTGGCACAATACGTGCTTTTCTTTACGCGATGCAAGCATGAAACCTGGGGTTTTGTACTGGCGTCCACACGAACTGCTCGCGTCAACCGGTACCTAGGTAAGCGACGAGGCTAGATCGCCGGCCGATTCCGGCAACTACACCCAAGCCGCAGGTGTCAAGCACGGCATCAAGAAAACGCCATTCCGCGCTCAGATCTTGCGAAAATATCTAAATATCATAAGACATGTTTCTCCGACCAGCTCGCACCTGCACACGGTCACTCCACACATCAACCCGCGCAATCACGGCCCGGCCGTCCATAAACCCACCAAACGACGCTTTCCGAAACCGGCAAAACCTAGTTCCCAAATTTTCGACAAAACAGTCATCATTGCAATTGAGCAGCAGGCGATTCATAGCAACCTCCATACCGCGACTTCAACAAATTGGCTCCGCAGAACGGATTTCAACATCCAAAATGGCAGGCGACGATCACTACCTCACGCTCTCATGCCCGGATAAGGCAGGCATTGTGTACGCCGTCACGGGCCTGCTGGCAAAGGAAAACCTCACGATTCTCGATCTCCAGCAATTCTCCGACCCGGACTCCAAGACGTTTTTCATGCGTGTGCATTTTGGCCATGCAGCAGATGTATCCGCGCTGCAAGAAAGCATGAAGAAGCTCGCTTCGGAAATGAGCATGACATACCAGATCCAGCGGGTAGACTCCAAGCCCAAAGTCCTCATCATGGTATCCAAAATCGGACACTGCCTCAACGACCTCTTGTTCCGCGTCAAATCTGGCCAACTCAAAGTCGAAGTCCCGATTATCGTGTCCAACCACCCCGAGTTCGCGGAGCTGGCAAAGAACAACGGCATTGAGTTCCATCACCTGCCTGTAACCAAGGACACCAAGGAGAAGCAGGAGACGCAGATTCTGGATTTGATTAAGCAACATAATATCGACCTTGTTGTTCTGGCGCGCTACATGCAGGTCCTCTCACCGCGCCTGTGCACGGAGATGTCGGGCAAGATTATCAACATTCATCACTCTTTCTTGCCTTCGTTCAAGGGCGCAAAACCTTACCATCAGGCCTACGAGCGTGGTGTCAAGATTATCGGTGCGACCGCACATTTTGTTACCGCGGATCTGGACGAGGGACCGATCATCGAACAGCGCGTTGCGAGGGTCGACCATGCTTTGAGCCCCAAGGAGTTGGTCGAGGAGGGAAGCAATGTTGAAAGCCAGGTTTTGGCTGCGGCAGTTAAGTGGTGGAGCGAGAAGAGGGTGTTTTTGAACGGTCAAAAGACTGTCGTGTTCAACTGAAGCGTGCCATCAAAAGTCGACGAAAAGCAATGTAAATATACACATGTGTCATGAAAAGCCTCCGAAAATTAATCTACAATGGATTGGGCACGCTTACCACTTGACGCGCAGGCCTTCGAAACTTCTCGGCATAGGTGGAAAGTCAGCAGACAGGCCATCTTCGCCAATGTACTTCTCCTTCAGTAGCAGACAGGTCGAGCACAGGCGCTCCCCGATTGAGTGTTGACCGAGCCAGATGCGGCCTTGAGCGCTGTAAAGCAAAGTCGCGATGTCGGTGAACATGTTCGATGTAGGATTGGTTTGGAGGTCGGTATCGTTGAAAACGTGCGGCTGTGCGTCGAAGAACTCGTCATCCGATTGCGTATAATCGTCGGTATCGTCCGTTTGAAGCATCCCGGTATAGTCCTGAAGCTCTTCTAATATCGTCGAGCCTTTTTGAATCGTGTCGCAGACACAGTTCGAGTTGTGACCGGACCTGACGCATTCTGTGACGGCTATGCGCGCAGGCTCGACCAGTCCACCAGCGAATGAACCGTAGTCGTCTCCGCAGTGGGCGCATGCAGTTCTTGATGACTTTCCAGCGCCGTGAGGGATATGCTTGGCCTGAGTCAGCACACGGACGAAGGTCCTTCGTGTCATACCAAGTTGGCAGAGATAGCGATCGAGCTCTTCCCGCAGATACACTTTCAACTGCTCAATGCAGTCCAATACTGCGTGGCACCAAGCTGAATAGATACTCGGTAGTGCTTGCAGGAATTGCTTATGTGTGAGGTTGTCCTCCATCCAATCAAAGCCCTTCATCTGCAGGAACGAGCCGGCGTTCACGACCATTGGCAGCACTACTCGGCCGCTTGCACGTAGAGCAAGCCAAGAGCCTATCGCGTCCAGGTGCCTCTTGCTAACCCCTGAACGCTCCTCGTGAGAAAGACCGAGGATCTGCTGGATGTACTTGTTGTGACGGGAATGGTTGAGAACAGATCTCATCGCGTGTTGCAGGGCGGACCAGATATTACGCGCGCTAAATTCGACATACTCCTCATTCACGGTAAGGTGAAGTAGCCACGTGATACTGTTTCGTGAAATAGGAACTCGTTCTCTCGCATACGCTCTCTTGAGCCAGTCGTGCACAGTCCAGCCATCGCTGTCGGCGTCGGCGATGTCAATGCATTCGCAGAAGAGTCTGAGCATGGCGATCTTGATATCAGCGTGCTCATCGGTACAAAATGCGACGAAAAGCGATATGGGCGATCTAGTTTCGTTAGCAGAGATGCCGTCAGTTGACACTGGGGCCCTACAAGATCGCATCAGAAGGTCCTTCATACACCAGTGCAGACTTGTCTGCTCCTCCCTTGATCAGCAAAGCGCATAGCTCGACGCGACCTGCTGCGGCGGCAAACTGGCCAAGTCAGCATCCTTGAATGAGTTCTCCACACAGGAGTAGCGTCTTACGTGCAATGGCTTCCATCCTTTGGGGCTCGTGTCTACTACGCTTGCCATTCCCTTCTCTAGAAGCGCTTCGACAGCACGGGTCTGACCGGTGCGACAGAGCTCGAAGATAAGCGAGTCATCGGGAACCGGGCAGGTTACTGTTATGTTACAGTTAAAGAGCCAGCTCCGCCCCCCGGATGCCACAACAGCTTCGAGGCCGCTCTGTATGCCCATGTACTGTTGCCATCTTGTAGGGTATAATATCAGCGACCTGACGATCTGGGGTTTCCTACGTCTCTTGGAAGACTTGTTGTCGTGATGAATAGTCGTTGTGCGTAGCCAAGCACACCCGAGTGCAGTGCGGATGGTTGAGACATGGTGTCTTACGCGATACCGCAGATTCTCGGCATAAACAAAAGTCTTGGTCCGCAGCTGTCCACATTCATCGATCGTATAGCCGTCTTGTGAATAGATCTCCAGCGATGTCGGTTCGAAGGTGGTGACCGCAGTTTGTGCGATGGCGTGCAACATGAGCTCCTGTACCTCATAATTGATCGAGCTGCGCTCCGTGAGCATTTTACCCAAAGGCTGTAGTGCGTTTGTCGTGAATGAAGATGTCATTCGACGGAGGGAACGCTGGCCAACGAATTTGGAGGGGATACTTTGCACTGGTGTCCAACTAGACGCATCCTCGATCCCAGGCAAACGAAGTGGGCCTTTCCGGACGGGTTTAGAAGCGTCATGTCCTTCGATCTCTCCAAATACTTTCAATCTTGTCGAAAGACGGGAAGAGCGAGCTTGAATCACGCTAAGTGTGCATGGTCAGCGAACCGCTATTGGCATGCATAGAATCGCGTCGTACCTTTCGTGGGCCATAGCTAGTGTGAGAGTCGACTTTGTGTCGTTCAAAGAGTCACGGAACCGTTGGATATGTTTGCTGTGAAGGGCAGCTTTAAAAGCTGTACGTACTCGTTGCCTTCGCGACAGCGATGAAAGTCCGCCATCGAATCTTTCAACAATGAGTGTTAGATCCTGAATGATCAGTGGTAGCTTGCGTGCCGAAATCGGTACACTTACTGCAATCTTGGCTCGGCAGTGTTGCACACCTTCTGCTAGACAACCACCAAAACTGTTGCCATGGGATTCGACTCTCTGGAAGACTGAGATGAGGAAGCGTAGATCTTCCTTGATGGCAATGATCTCCCGAGGCGCATCTTCGACTGTCTCCCAAAATGTATAAAGTTTGATACACGCTTCGGTAAGTTGGAAAGCCACAGATATGACAGCGAGGCCTGGATGCTATTAGTAAGAGATGACGAAATCGTTCATCGAAAGTACCGTTCGCCGCAATCGAAAGTCCTTCCATTGTTTCTGCAGCTTGATTACTGATTGCATGGCAAGAGCAGCCGGATTAGAGCTTATATTGCAGTGAGCCTACTGCGGTACAGCAAAGGGGCGAGGTTCACGCACGTCTCAGCATTGCCCAGTTGTGGCTGCGCCAATGCATGCTCAATGATTCCCCTGCAGGTCGCCTCGTGCTTCACCTACGCGAAATCCGTGCTGAGCATGCCTTTGAGCCTTGCGCATGGTCATAGCTGGGAGACCGGGAGACAGAATCGAACAACAATGTGCACGGCAGGTTGACGCGCTTGTGTGAGTAACAGCCATGACTGCTGATATTATAACCGGAGAAGAGCCAGGTAATGGGCAACTAACTTCAATGGTTTACAAGACCTGCCCATGAGCTTGATACGATTTCGATGTTCGGGCGACGGTTCGTCAATGGAGCTCGGAATCAGGAGGCTGGGTCGATCGACGCTTCCGCGGAGTCTTCCGCCCCCACACTATCCACTTGTGGGTGCAGCCGTCACGTAACGGGTGTCGAGGTCGACGCGTTCCAGGGAGCTCTAGAAGACGAGATCGCTTAGAATAGGTTGGAGCATCGCATGCCGCAAACTTTGATAAGATGAATGAGAGCTGAGTGGGTGGAGACACGGGAAGGACCAGCGCGCTAACGACAGGAGCGGCACGTGGGCAGCCACCCGCATCTGTTGGCAGCCACCCATCTCGCTTGGGTTTACCATCATTTCCATCGACGTACGTAAACAGCAAATAGTCATGGCCATGCTTTGAACGCGTTTGCCTTCTGAAACACCTTAACGACCCGGGCTGGCGTCCGGCTTGATATCCCCGAGGACGCGGCATCAGCGCTAGACATACATATACGGTGGATACAGGCTGCGCCAGCCGAAGCGGGTGCATGACGTTGCGCTGCTGCTACCAAAAGCTTGTGGTTGAAACTGAGTCTCTTCGATGCTCTACTACATTACTTGTGATAAACTGCATCGCATGCTTGCAGCAAGTCGACACCTCACAGAGTAGCTATTCATCCTCCGTCTTCAGCTCGACTCATATCTTTCCATTATGCCGCCTCGTCAAGCCTGCATACGGTGCTCCTCTAACGATAGGCGCGATTTCCGAAGCAACGCCAAAAGCACAGTGGTTCACACTCTGGAAGTCGCCAATCCCCTGATACCCATGTTCCCTCATGTACTCTGGATCGTTGCTATTCGCAAGAACACCAAACTTGAGTCTAGTGTGCATCAACTCCAGTGGAAAAGGGTCATTGCCCAAACATGCGCCGCGGCTGATGTCATCCAAGGTGGTGTTTCGTGTGGTAACTAGAATGCGAGAGAAGCCAGTCGAGAATGTTGTACCATCTTGCCAGATTGTGAAAGCGCCGAAGAGGAGGATGAGGAGTGTGATGACGACAACTGGCGCGTAACATTGCCAGAGCCGTTCGGGGACGTAGACGAATGAGGATTGGAGTCGCGAGCGGTTCACTGTGAGCTGTTCTTCGGCGACTGCTAACATCTCTGGCGCTGATAGCAATGACAGAACCATGTCTGAGTAGAAGGTCTCGATCTCATCCGTTAGGTTTTGCTTAGGCTCGCTGTTCTTCTGGACTAGTCGTGTCTTTGTGACATCAGAATAGACTTGTGCATAGTATGGTCCAGGTAATGGCGGGTCGAGATCGACGTGACCGCGGAGGAAGTCCCTGAACATGTCGCCGACAGCATGGTATGCGGCCGTTTTCTTGTAAAAGCCCACATCGCTCCGAGGGCTGATGTATTCTTCCGCTGGTCCCGGATCGAGGGTGTAGTTGATCTTGCCGTCGACTCCCCGCGGAAAGCTGGTGTCTAGAATGGGCCTCTGCGGTTCTAGCTTGACCGTGGAATTGAAGAAGGGTTCAGTGAAGTTCCAGCTGACTGTATACTTAGTCTCCATATGTATACAGCGCATGATTCGCGCATCATAGCGATGTGTCCAATTCTTTGCGAGGGGGTCATCCTTCGCGAGCTTTACCGTAGAATTGAACGCATAGCCAATCCAGAGCGCAGGTTCTGACTTGAAGACACCCAGATCGACTGGAGTTTCACCATCAGGTATACCACCCGGACCTTTGCGGAAGTTGTTGGCTTGCGGGCGGGCATATTCGCCCTCGTCGACGTCGGCGTAGTAAACGAAGCGGCCTCGCGGTGCCAAAATGCTCATGTTGAAGGGCGCACCCAATTCTGTTAGTCTCTCGTCGTCATCTGCACTACTGGCTATTTCTTCGCATTGGTAGCTCGGCCCAACAAAGCTTTGTTCGTACGTGCAATTGTACCGCCCTCCACAAGCGTCTTGCCGAGCATCTTGCCTGATGTTGGGACGGTCCAAGTTGCTATAAGCCAGCAGAAGAGCGACACGTCTTAACTCCGCCGAGGGCTGATCGTAATAGTCAAACCACCCTGGTGCCGTGCCAGCAATGTCGGTAGTATTGTAATACATCATCGATCTCTTGTTGCTTCCGTCGGCCAACTTCACCGGATTTCGCCAGTCTTTTGTGGACTCCATCGAGAAGTTCAGCGTGGGAACTTTGAGATCGATTGTCTCGCTATCGAGATAGGTTCCGAAGGTAAGCGCACCGGGCGAGAAGATAATTGTTGCCAACGGGACCAGCCAGATGACCTGCAAGCCAGCATCTTTGATTAGTGATGTGTTCTATTCTGTTCTTACAGGGATAGTTACTCACCAAGGCAATAGCGCACAGAACCGGTGCACTAGAAAGGGCCTCCCAATTGCCAAAGATTGTTGGATCTTCCGTAGCCCCGAAGATCTGGTCGATAGACAGCACTGTGAAAGCCCGGTCCCTAAACGCTCTCCACATGCGCTGACGGAACACCAGGACCACACATCCGCCGAAAGCAAGCTTCGATAGATAGGCAAGTGCGCGCCCATACAGAACCCAGCGAAACTTCTTGTCCTCGTCCTCTTCTCGCTGGTGGTGCAAGAAAGTATACAAGAGGTGTTGAAGAAGCGCAAACACGATGCCCATGATGAAAGCAAACACCATGAGTGCTGGCCCACGCCAGTTTACTCGCCATTGAGTTGACTGCGTCGCCCGATGTGCTATCAACCTCTCGGTCATGGGATCTGTTCGCGCTCTCGAGATGCCCGATCCGAACGAATACAGTGTATCTGGTGTCCTGGAGTATGGTGGTCGTGGCCCTGGAGAGTAGGTCGGAGGAGAAAAAGCACCAGGCTTCGTATTAGGCGTATCCTGCCGCCAATACGTAGAGCCTGGTGATTTGGGTGATGGCATGGGCTCCATTTGGATACCTAGGCCTGGGTCGTTGACGTTTTCGCTGTATCTTGATGGCGTCCCGCGCCTGCTCTCGGTGGACTCGTCGCTTGTTCGCGAAGGTAAAGAGGCATAATCTGGTCGGGATATGCGAATGTCTGGCGATGCAGGTAGATATGAGTAGGGCCGACTTTGAGCATCCATGTTGGCATTTGTTGGAGGCGTCAGAAATCGGATTGGCACATAGAGCGCTTGGCTGGATCATGTCTCAGTAGTTTGAGATTCTGTAGTTGCATGTTTGAAGAAGATAAGGGTCCGCACTGTGGAATAGGTATCCTAGATGGTTTTACAAAAGACCGGTCAGCATTTTCGGAATGGCCGCTCTGGCCTCGTAGCTGAGCTGCATCTTCCTAGGGCTGAGCTGTAACCGTCAGCTGGCAGGGGTTGCACACGTTAGAAGCTCATCATCTGATGTCAGTCGGTCCCCGGTGCTCGCACGGGAGTGTCGCAACAACGACGGCAGCCAGCCGCATCGCGCGACCGACTTCTCAGGCCCTTGGCTGCGCCTGGTCCATTCGCGCGCGGAAACCATCATAGTGGCGATGGGTGGCTTACACATTTGAAACGGTCAATGCTGCGGTTGAACATGACGAACGCCTGATGAGCGGTGTCGTGGTGTCTGGTGCAGGAAAGCCATAGAAGGAGGCACGGAGGAAGCTCGGACGGAACAGGTGCGTTAGCCGAGAGTCATCCGCAACAAGACATGTACGTGCTGCAGCAGCAAACAAAGTCACCACTACGGGACACAAATACATTTGTGCGTACGAACATGCTACAGCGATCTCGCTACATTCGAGAGGCAGTTATTGAAACCTGTCTATCACCCTCAGTCCGTCTTATACATCTCAACAGTCCAGCCCCCTCAGATCTCGTAAAATCTCCTCGCTTCATCCTCAGTCACAGCGCTAGTGTGGCACCTGTTCAAATCCACAAGTCCATACTTGCTCCCCTTGATCTTCCACCACATATCGCGACGATTGCCACTCAGCTTGCCGCCCAGGATATCTTCCTTCAATTGCTTGATGAAGGGATTGTATATGTCTGGCTCCTCGAGCTCAATAAGCTCCTCGCGCATGACGCGAATAGCCTCCAGTGCGCGCCCATAAGCATTATCGCCCACACTATTGCTGATAAGGCCGCGGATCTCCTTAGCAACATCGTCCACAGCTTCTTGGATAGACTCCATGTCGTCAGACGCGGCCAGGGCTTGCTTGAATGAGGGTATGAGGTTGTTGGTTTCGATCTTGACACGCTTGGGGTTGCCGAGGAGTGCGTCAACATCGAGACCGGAGAGGGGCTTGTCGCGATCTCCACGCTGGCGTTTTCCTCGACCTTTGACCTTTGGTGGGACTTTCTTGACATCTGCTGCTTCCATCAACCTCTTCATTTGCTTTTCCGATGCAGCGAGGAGCTCTGCTGGTGGCGCGGAGTACTTCATTAGGATCTCGGGTGGATCGGGAATAGGCAGCGTAGGGTCGGGGTGCGTCGCTCGCCATTTTATCACATGCCCAATGCGGTGGACAAGGGGTGAAAACGTATCCTCTGGTTTCGCGTACTCCTCTGGGTTACCCTCTTCGTCGCGGCCAAATGTTGATAGATCCATTGCATCGACATAGTCGCTCATTGCGTCAAGGAGCTTGTCGGTAGGCAAGTCTCTATGCTCTGTGATAGTTTTGCCACTGACTGTGAGCTTTCGATCTAACGGTGGGAACTTGTACCGTCTCATGTCTTCCTCGAAAGGTAGCTCAACATCGACCAGAGCCTCCCACTCCAGCTCGATACGGGGAACAAGGAGCAGCAACACTGGAGGTTTGAGGTCTTTTGCCACCAGTCTTGCGATCGCATAGCAATCGGCTTCGTAGAGAGCGTGAATGAACGAAGATAGGGCGAGCTGTGCTTGGGTATTGGCCTTCTGCGGTACGATGAAGTTGGAGCGACCAATGGGAAGATAACGCTCGAACTCCTCCATCTTTACAAAGCCGACCAATTCTAGAGACTGTTGGGTTTCTAGTTTGACGACATTCATATCGGACTCTGAGATGTGCACTGCAGTTCTGCCGTATTCATAGCCGCGCTCTAGCTCGTCAAGCTCAACAGGGTTCTTCAGACCAGGCTCATCCAGGTTGTCCACTTGGTAGAGGCGCTGGTTGTGGACAGCTGCCAGATCGGGCATCGGCTGGTCTTCGCCCACGACAGTCGCCGATGACTGCCCCGATGGGCCCGGATCCGTTCGTACTGCGAACGTACTTGCTGTGGGCGGCTTTGATATCATAGTACATGGATATCGTTCGACGTCAATGGTAATGGTGGCCTCGTACTTGCTAGCATCTCCCAATGTAAGCGAGCCTCTGTAGCTCTGAACAGGGCGGGTTTCCTTGAGACGCGGTGTATGAAGTTGATCGACGGCTGTCGCAAGTGTGCCGAAGTTGCCATCGCAGTCGTCTATAAAGCTTTTCAATATAGCTTCGTTCTTTGCCTAGTTTGGGTCAATCATTGTCCGCTTTGGCGATCGTGTCACATACCTTTTCCGCGTTCTTGCCCTCCTCTTTATAACCCACATCTTCGTCATCAAAATCGAGACCGAGCAACACGATCTCGAATGGAGCAGCCGGATCTTTGATCTTCGCCGCCATTTCTTCGAGATCGCCTGTGTCCATTTGACCGCGACCGTCAGTCACAATGATCACCCTGCGATCGTACTTCAATGGGTTGCCTTTGGCACCTTGTGTCCCATTGTCAATCATGTGAACAGCTACCGCAAGAGCAGAAAGCACTATGGCTGTTAGTAGGAAGCAGAATTACAGATGCGTGGTACTCACGATCGCCGCTATCTGTTTTGCTTGGTTTCAGTTGGTCTTGCAGCATCCGAATATCGCCGAGTAGATATCTTGCAACTGTTAGTACATACAACACAACTCGTGTCTTAGGACTTACTGCTTCAAATCTGAGAAAACCTTGATATTCTCATATCCTTCCCCTTCTTCCATGACACCATTAAGACCAGTCTCATCTGTCCGGCAGCCAATCACGCTCATCAGCGCGGTCTTCCTGCCTGACGCAACCTACATCTTGATTAATTCTCTTGTCAGACCATATTTGAGGGGAAATTGAAGCGTCCCGAGCATCGAACATACTAAATCTCCAAATGAACGTCGACTTACAGTAGTGGTAATCTTGTCCCACACATACTCCAACGCCCAATCCAGGTCTGTCTGATCGCGGCCATGTCTCTTTTCACCCATTGACCGCCCCAGATCTAGGATGTAGACTGTCGCCTCTTTACCAGCCATGATTGCGTTATAGTATGCTTCTTTTGCGCGCTTCGCGTGTGGTGACTAGCGTCGCGTGCCGCTAACTTTACGACGTCAAAACACTGGAGGCCGGATGAATTATGTGCTTTGGCAGTGTTGGACGTGATGAATTAGAGAAGTCGCAATCAAAAGAAAGAGCGAAGGCGTGAGGTGTTGTAGTCGTCGCATCGGACGGCACGGTGTAGCCTGTTGCGTTAGGCAAACGTGGCACGGACCATGCACTGGAACGCGAGAACCCGTGACGAAGCTAGCCTCATGGAGGTCCGGCGGGAAGGACATAGCACGAGTTCGTCAATACCTTCATGATGTCTCATCATAATGCAAGTCAAGTGTGACTTCTACAGTCTAGTCTACCTCAGGTCTATCTTCGCAATGTCTACATACGTTCATCCAAATCTCATAGTAAGAGCCTCAGGTTTACTCCCCATAACCTGTTCAATCTCCTCCAAATTCTCCTTGGTCAGCTTGCGATAAACATCAACCGCCTTGACAGTCTGATAAATCTGCTCCGGCCGCGACGCACCCGTGATAGCACTCGACACGTTCTTGTTTGACAGGACCCACGCCATGGACAGTGTCGCAACGTCAGTATCAAGCTTCTTCGCAACCTCCATGAGCTTCTTGATCTTGCCTTGTTGCTCGTTCCACGCATCGCTGCCAACGCCTTTCATGACGGACTGAATGTATGGATCGTCTGATACGCGGAGACGCGAATCTTCTGGGACACCGTCGACGTATTTTCCTGTGAGGAGACCGCCTTGAAGCGGTGAGAAGATGGTGAGACCGAGACCGCGGCGGGTGTAGAGGCCTGCGTCTTTGAACTCTTGGTCTACCTTCTGAGGGCGGAGCAGTGAGTAGCCAGGCTGTTCGACAATGGGACCGATGAGCCCGAAACGGTCGGCGACGGCCCATGCCTCTTCGATCTCGGAGGCGAGCCACTCAGATGTGCCCCAATAGAAGGTTTTGCCTGTGTTGATGAGGTAGTTGAAGGCGCGTACTGTCTCTTCGATGGGTGTATAGCGATCTGGGCGATGTGCGTACAGAATATCAACGTAGCTTAGCTGTAGTCGTTCGAGCGAGGCTTCAGTTGCTTCGATGAGATGCTTTCGTGATAACCCAAGGTTGTTGATCTTGTTGCGTGGCGAGGGGAGGGCGGAGTTGTGAGTACCCCAGTAGATCTACGCCAGTCAATACAGTTCTATGATCTAATCCCGCTCCAGCGTGTAATACCTTGGTGGAGACGACAATATCGTTCCTGTTCCAATTGAAGTGTTTGATCGCCCGACCCATGACCTTCTCAGACTCGCCCTTTGCGTATCCTTCAGCGCAATCGAAGAAGTTGATACTGCAGAGAAACATATACAAAATCAGTGTACATCACACACGTGTATCGTATGCTTTGACTTACCCAGCATCAAATGCTGCTTTGAGACAAGCGAAAGTGTTGTCATCGCCGACATGACCGCCGTATGTGAGCCAACCACCGAGGGAAATGGCAGAGATTTGCAGTCCGCTCTTGCCCATGAAGCGGTACTCCATCTCGGGCAGATCTTTGGGTACTTCGGATTGAGACATGTTGCAGAGTGGAAGTTTGAGAAATAGGTGCCTTACTGTCAAAAGGGAACACGTCTGGTTTATATTGCGATAGCATCATAGTCTCCAACTACCGTGTGTAAGCAAGCCACCAACGATACCGCACGATACAGTGCAGGACGATCTGCTGAATGTGGTTACTTGCTCTAAATAACCATCCAAGGTGGGGTTACTCGCTGCAAGATACCCCGCACAGAGGGCACAAGGGCATAGGCGGCGCGGGAAATACCAACTTCGTCCCGCCTGTCGTCATCACTACGGAAGACCATTTTAGGCGGTGGGAAGGAGTATTCGAGGGGTGTAAAGATAGCAGAGAAGACTGCGCTTACAAAAAAAAATGAAAGCACGGGGTGATGCGACCGAGCATGTACGGCAGAATGCCGTGCAGACATTCCGGAAACCATCGACCGGCATGCCCTCTTCTACACGCAACACGCTTCACCAGATGCCTGGGACCATTCTCTTCCGCGGACCTACCTTGGCGGCACCAAATTTCTCCACGTACCATTCCTTTGTGCCTACGGCCGTCACTCCCAGGTTTGTAGCGACAAATATAGTCGCGCAGACCAGTGTCCAATTGACCCAGCTGCCCTCAGGCGCTGCTATGAGCGACAATAGCGCGTAGATGACGACCTCGCAGGTATAGTGCGGGCAGAGTAGGTTCGTGAATACGGTATGCGAGGGAAGCTGGTAGCCGTTGCTCTCGGTGCGGAGGCGGTAGAGGTAGCTGTGGTAGGAGTGTTGCAGCATCTGCGCGGTGACAATTCCCGGCACCAATGCCACATTGCCGGTGGCATTGCTAGGTGTCTCAACCCAGACGGCCATGTTTATCGTGATGTAGAAGAGAAGTCCTAGAACCCAGTGGGCGAACCACATCCGGCTCTTGCTCATCGAAGTGTATGCGTACGACTCGAGCATGCGTCGCAGGCCCTGAAGCAGCAGGAGCGCCCAGACAATCTGCTGCTGCCTGCCAGCTTCCCACGCGTGCAGTCTCCATGCCCAGAACAGCGAGCAGAGCACGGACGTGATATAGAAGTGGGTGAAGTAGTTGTGGGGCACTTGTAGCGACGCAGCGTAGTCGAGGGTACGTGTGAGAAGCGACTGCTGCTGAACGGGTGGCTCCTTCCTCCCGCTCACGCCGGTGACACGGGAGCCATAAGCAAGAAAGCGCGAGCGCAGGGCAGGAACAGCCTGAATGACGAGGATCTAGTAAGCCGGACTGGTTAGTGAGGTTGCATGTGGAGGTGAATGGTGCCGCGATACAAGAAGAGACGCAGCGAGGTAGAAGATGCGCAGCAGGGCCACGGGATGCAGGTCCTCGACGCGGTGGCCTATAGCTGAGAGCGAACGCGATAGCGAGGCCATGTCGGGAGTATTGAAAAGTGAACGCGTAGGGGGCTGTGACGGCAGAATGATGAAGCCCTGACTGGTGCTGACCGCTTATTCGACGGGCGAGTCACGTGCCATTAAAGCCAATCTCTCCGTGGTTCTCGCGACCAAACAATCTGGCCCGCAGGAGATGATGAGGGCTAAATAACGCGGCAAAGGCCGAGTTAGCGGCGGTTTGGAACCTTGGGAGTCCTGTTTCGGCTGGGATGGCGAGCCACGAGGAACACGGGACCAGCAGCTCGCAGCGCTCCCTATGAGTGGAAGAGGCCGACTGACAGACAGCGAGCCACGCAGCAGCAAACGTCACGGCCGCACGGCGCGGTAATCGTGATGTCGCGTCGCTTGTTGTTCTCCGTTCACGATAGACGATGGCTTGATAGCAGCACAAAGGCGAGTGCAGGGTTGCCTTGACGATCCATGCCCCCCATGGCTGGCGCAGGCCGGTGAATGGTGGAGCGCTGCCTGCTACTGGCAAGCCTCTCAGCTCTTCTCCGTGTCGCTCCTCCTCCACTACACCTCACAACGCGCCTTCATCACCCACCCCCGACCGCGCCGTCCATCGCAGCCCGTCGAGCAGCCCAGCGCCCTGTTGTTGTTGCCGCCCGCGCCCACCCTCCTGCAGAGGCCTCCGTTGTGCTCCTTCCGTCCCTTGCTCTGCAAGCCAGCATGAGGCAGGAACTCGAGTGTCCTGTCCCAGCGTAATGACCAGTAATGCCGATCCGGTCTTAAACGCACCCTCTGCCCCCAAGTCCTTCCACCACGACCGCCCGCACAGCCCGCCGTCGCCTCGCCCGGCACCCAAGACGGCCGCGTTTCCGTCCCAACATGCTCACGATGAAGACCAGGACGCTGAAGGCGAGTCCGAGGCCGAGACGGTCGTCCTATCACGGGACGAACACCCCGAAGAAAACAAGATGATCAAGACAGAGCGCGTCGAAGACGACGACGACGATGCATCGCGGCTGCGCTCCATCAAGGAAGAGTCACGGGCGCATTCAGCCCAGCCCAACGGCCGCCGTCGGTCGAGCAACGGCAATCATGTCAAGGTCAATGGCGCCAAACACGCCTCGGAGCGCGATGCGAAGAGCCCCGTTCCTACTTCACCCAGCAGCCGCACGGCCTCGCGAAACACCAAGGACACCAGTCCAAACGACTCGGCCAAATCGCCCGTCCGATCCGCCCTCTCTCCCACACAAGCTACTACTCGCGGCCGCAGCGCGTCGACTGTCGAGAACCGCAAGCGCAAGCAGCGCGATCAATCCTTCCCCAAGGCCTTCGAGCCACCGCGACAAAAAGCTAGGACCGAGGGCTTGAAGGACGCGCGCCCGCCCCATTCGCCTGGCACGCCAGGTTTTGGCCGCCCACACAAGCGTTCGCAGTCAACACAATCCGCCGTCACAGGTATCGCAGGCCGCAAGCGCCGCGAGGTGACCAACCTCGCTCTGTCGACAGAAGAGCACTGGTCGGGATCGAGTTCAGATCACTCAACATCACCGCAGCCCACGTCTGCGCCGCACCTCCAACACGCCCGGGTGAAGCGCTCCACCAACCGTGCGCTGACCTCGCCTGCACGTACCATGCCCCAGAGGAAAGTCGACCGATTTGGCGCAACGCGTCTTGCCCGAGAAAGCGAAAGAGGCGATCTGGATGCAGTCAAGGAAGCCTTTGAAGACGCGCCCGACGAACTGAATCAGCCCGACTACGCCGGTATCGCTCCGTTACAAAAAGCCTCGCTGCACGGTTGGGCGCCTGTCGTTCGATACCTGATCAGCAAAGGCTGCCGAACGGACTGTGAAAGCCACGATCGAGACACTCCTCTTATCGACGCGGTAGAGAACTCGCACTTGGACGTCGTGAAACTGCTGCTCAACGAGGGCCAGGTCAATCCACATCACTCCAACAAGAAAGGTCAGCGTGCGATTGATGTGCTGGACCCGGAAGATGACGACGCAGAGGAGATTGAGAAGGAACTTAGAGAGGCGATGAGAAGACGGGCAGACACGTCCAACAACGACCCCGAACGCACCCAGAAGCAGGCCAAGACCGCATCGCGATTATTGTACAACGAGTTCAACGTGGAAACATTGATCGAGAAAGCTGGCGATGGCGATATCCTTGCAGTAGGAGAGCTGATCAACAGCAACATCAAACCGAACATTACCTGTGGCGTTGCAGCAGCAAGAGGTGGACACTACGACATTCTCAGTATCCTTCTGGCGAGTGGTCTCAAGGCTGATCCCGACCCGTCCAAGCATCCAGAAACGCCCATGACAGTTGCCATCGGACGAGGATACCTCAAGATCATACAACTACTTCTCGAGCAAGACAACTTCAATCCCACTCGCCGAAACAAAGACAACAAGACGTATTACGAGATTTCTGAGGAACGGCACGGCCCTAAGTGGGAAGAAGAGAGGGATATGCTGAAGCGCGCCTGCGAGGAGTATCAAACGACACATCGGAGCCCGCGGAGAGTCAAGAAAGAAGCTCCGAACGCCCCGACGAACCGCATGAAGAGAAAGACGTCACCGCGAAGAGAACGGTCGTCTTCCCCACGTCCCAATGCAAAACGCGCGCAGCTGGTAAAGTCGACGACAGAGCCTGCTGCACCACAAAAATCTCGACGACTCATGTCCGGAAAGGAAAAGGCTACCAGAGAAGACCAAAGAAGGAAGCGCGTTGTGGACGACGATTCATCAGAAGAGGAGAGCGAGGAAGACGTACGACCGCCCATCCGGAAGGCCAAGCAGCGTTCTTACAGCGAAGGCGAAGAAGCGAAGCCTGTCAAGAAGGTTGTGAAACCACGATCAGACGACAACGAATCCAAACGACCGGACCGAGCTCACTCCGATGAGAGCGACGAGGACCATGGCACTAAGCAGCCAGTTAAGATTCGGACAAAACCAGGCAGACCACTCAGCGCCAAACCGACACCCGAGATCGACTCTCCAGACGAACGCAAGGTTGTCAAGAACAAAATCAAATACAAGACCGTTGAAGACAAGATTAGGAAAAGAAAGATGTCGGATGCATCAACAGACGATGTTAGCGTGAAGAGAACGCCCACAGCATCTGCGAAGTCTACGCCCGTGCCACCTGAAAGGATAGCAACTCCAGAAGTCGAGCGCGCACGTCGTCAAGAAGAACACAAGCTACAGGCAGAAGCGAAACGCAAAGCCGCCGAAGTTGCAGCTGAGGCCGAGGCGAAGCAGAAGGAAGCAGAGGAAGCGGCTCGCAAAGCTGAAGAGATGGAGCAGGCGAAGAAGAAGGCCGAAGCAGAAGCAGAGACACAGCGTCAAGCAGCAGAAGCAGAAGCAGCACGTTTACGAGAGGAACAGGAAACTCAACGCCGAGCAGACCAGGAAGCGAGACGCCAGAAGGATTTGCTTGAACGTCAAGACCGGATATCCAGGCTCCCCCGAGCTTTGAGACGCGCCTGCGAATTAGGCACCAATCGACCGCTTCATTTCGCAGGGGAGCAACTTGGTGTATCTGCTATTTTCCTACCGTTGTTCTTGGCAAATGCTGAGGACCTCGGTGACTCGCAAGCCATCCCAAATCGGAAGTACATCTGTTCGTTCCAGGCTGTCGGC